GTGGAGCCCCACGTGGGGCGGGGTCTCGTGAACAGTGAGGTCATGACCTGAGCTGAAATCAGGAGTGGGGTGCTGAACTGACTGAGCCACCCAAGGGCCCCTAGATCCTGTTCTAATAATACAGACAAAATCTCCACTTTTCTTATTTTATTTTTGGTAAGTTAGAGGAGGAAAAGAGACAATAATGAGGACATAAAATATAGAGGAGGTGTTCTTCAAAGAATTAGAACAGAGTAACATGCCAAGTGATGGGGTCAGGTTTTTTTTTTTAACCATTTACAGTTTAAGGGGTGCTCCGCTGGCTCAGTCGGTTAATAGTCCAACTCTTGGTTTTAGCTCAGGTCATGATCTCACGGCTTGTGAGGGGGAGCCCTGCATCAGGCTGTCTGCTGTCAGCAAAATGCCTGCTTCAGATCGCTGTCCCTCTCTCTCTGCCCCTCCCCTACTCACACTTTGTCTCTCAAAAATCAACATTATAAAATTTAATTTTCGGCGCACCTGGATGGCTCAGTCAGTGAAGCCTCCCACTCTTGAGTTCGGCTTAGGTCACCATCTGTCAGTGGTGAGATTGAGCCCCCGAGTCGGGCTCTGTGCTGGGTGTGGAACCTACTTAAGATTCTCTTCTCTCCCTCTGCTCATCCTCTTCCCCCTCATCCCTGCTCACTCACTCTCTGGGAAAAAAAAAAAAAAAGGATTGTTTCTAATTTTCTTTTTTTTTAATTAAAAAGTATTTTTTTAAATGTTGATTTTTGAGAGAGAGAGAGACAGCATGGGTGGGGAGGGACAGAGAGAAGGGAAGACACAATCTGAAGCTGCTCCAGGCTCTGAGCTGTCAGCACAGAGCCTGATGCAGGCCTCAAACTCACGAACCACAAGATCATGACCTGAGCCACAGTCAGATGCTTAACTGACTGAGCCACCCAGACGCCACCAGGAACATTTTTCTATACTGCTTTGGTTCATTATAGGCAGCACGTTGTTCAAGGAGGGCAGGATCACACATCGTACTGTTAGCACTTAGGATATCCAGTAGGAGATGCTGGGGTTCAGCTTGCTAGCAGAGTCTGTGGGATCTCTAAACTCGTGTTATCCCACAGAGAGTGTGCTTAGACTGGATCGTCTTTGATTGCACTGGACTCAGTATGGCTAAGAGTCTACCTAGTAAGTAGTGACCTCATTCCCCTCGCACGCCCACAACATGGCAAGGAGCATCCAGACCTTTGTGCAACAGTAGACATTTCTTGGCCAGGGAAGTGGGTTTGTTGGAAAGGGGGCACCTCCAGACCTCAGCTGCTGCTGTCACCCTGCTTCTTGTTGAGGTGACTCAGACCTGCCGGGTCAGCGCATTGCCAAGTCACTGGAGTGGGAACAAATGAGCCTCCCTGGCTTTCTGCATTTGTCTTTCTTCTCGTGAGGGACGGAAGGGAACGAGGACAGAATGTGATCATGAGGCTCCATCTGCTGGTACTGGGCTCTTAGTGTCATACTTGTACAAACGTATTCAGCATCTCTTCTTCTCATTCTTCCACTTTGCAGTCTTTGCTCATGTGACTTATTAAGAAAAAAAATCCCAATGCGCTCAGCCCTTGTTTTCCATTCCACACTGCAAAAATGCCCTTCCAAAGATGATGACCTTGGGAAAGAATGGCAATGAATAGATCTTCGAGGGCCTTCAGCTTTCTCTTGTCTTCTTAAACTGTTCTGATCTGGCTCTACTGGAAGTTATCAAAAATTTATTAGACGTGTTTAATCCTTTTAAGAAATTTGCGAGATAGTGTCAGAGATTAACACAGCCAGACACGCGTTAGAGTGGTGAAAACAGAGTTCATTTAGTACCTGCTGGCAGCGGGGGAAAGCGCTGAGCTCTGTTCCGGTTTGTGAGGAATGATTTGGAGGTTTTATAGGGAGAATAGGAAGGGAGAGCCGAGCAGGGGCTCCGGAGCGCGCGAGAAGTGAAGAGTTACAAAGGACCGGTCAGTGCGAACGCAGCTGGGCCCGCCGTGTTTGCTGGCGAGCAGTTACCAAACTTAGGCTTCTGTCCTATCGCGGAGACTGGGACAGAGGCCCCGTCCTGCCCGATGACTACGTTCCAAGGGAATGGCTCTTAGGGACACTTCTGAGCTGTAAGAGGTACACAACCGTAACCTCCTTTTGGTAAATACTTTAAGAAGGGACGTCAGAGGCCTGTTGACAGGTGTTGCTACAACTAATAGCAAAATTTCCTGGCAGCATTTTTACTTTTCTCAGGCAGACATTTTAATGGGGTATTGGGGACATCCTGGTTTTACGCTGCGGGAAGCCATGGTGGACTTTGGTTGGGTTTTTGGTGCAGGCTCTGGGTAGAGTTATGTGCCAGGACCACGCACTGTTACCCCATTTTACAGGTGGGGAACCTGGGCTCAGAAATGAGCAACTCCCCCAGGATCACACGGCTGATGAGTGGGAGAGCGGAGATTTGAATGACGCCCTGGGCCCTGAACACTGTGTCACACTGTCTCTTAGCACCGACCGGGCTCTGGGGAGACCGTGTAAGCCCTGTCCTGAGAGAGCGCACGGGCCAGCGGAAGGGGCCAGACACTGGAACGGATCGTTACAATGGGTGCAGTTTTTACGGTATCCATTCAGCTGCCCTTTGCCTGTCTGTTGAGGACACCAAAAGCTTTCTCTCTCCCCTGGTTTCTTCTCCTTTCAGCCGCTTCATCCTGTCACCTGGCAGCCACACACTGCAGCTGTGTGTCCCCCCAGCGCCCCTCACCGGGGTACCCTAAGTCCTGCTCATTACCGTCTCGGCCTGACCTTCTTCTGACCTTTGGAGTCACTCGGGTTTTGGAGGGTTTTGGAGCGCCGTCTCTAGCCTCGGGCTCTGCCTCGGGCTCTGCCGGGGCAGTAAGGGACCTGTGTTTCCTCTTTCCCGCAGCCTGGGCAGTCCCCACGCCCTCCTCGTGCCAGAACTTTCCTCACGCCCTCCCCTGTCTCCCTGTTTCCTGTCTTCCCACAGCCCCACCCAGACTGCAGGCCCACGCCTCCCTCCCTCACGCGCACCCGCGTGGCACACGTGCCCCTTCCTGCCTCTTCGTTCACGGGACTCAGCATCTTCGCTCTAGACGTGAGGATTACTAATTAGACTCCGGGCTGTTTATGAGCTGTTTGGGATACGATTTTATTTAACTTCCCACATTTATGTTCCTTGCTAGCTCTGAAGACTTTCAAGTGGGTGGCGAGTGGGATCGGTGGATCAGCCGCATTCGCCGCTCTCCTTTTGCCTACCTCTCACTGCCTTTGCCAGACACATCCGTTTCTTTTTTATTTATTTATTTATTTTTAAATGTTTATTATTACTGAGACAGAAACCCAGCACGAGTGGGGGAGGGGCAGAGAGAGGGAGACACAGAATCTGAAACAGGCTCCAGGCTCTGAACTGTCAGCACAGAGCCCGACGTGGGGCTCGAACCCACACCGTGAGATCGCGACCTGAGCCGAAGTCAGACGCTTAACCGACTGAGCCCCCCAGGCGCCCCTGACACATCCATTTCTGTATTGAGCTTCTGTTGCCTCGCTGGGTACCCTCCTTCCAAATGGCTGTGTGCTCCTCCTGCCCTTCAGTGCTCAGCTCACGTCAGCTTGTGTTTTCAAGCTCTCCCAGACTTTCCCAATTAACGTTGATCTTATTTTTTTTTTCCTAATTCACAGCACATCTCAAGACTGTATGGTTAACAATTCTAAAAAGATGTGTCGTTCTTTGATTGCTTAGTGTGTGTTTTCCCCAGCTAAGTGTAAGCTGTGTGTTGTAGTTGTGGGCCGCAGGTGCTGAGACCATCAACAGGCATGTGTGTACTTACTTGCCCATCATCATCTGTTTATCCCTTCAGCACATTTTCATTGAGCACCTACTATGTCTAGCATCCCTGCTGTCTTGGGGTTTACCTCCTGATGGGAGAATTAAGCCAACGAAGGAATCATCACAACTTAAGTTAAACTCTGTTAACAAAATAAGTAGGCGACTGTAATGAAGCATGATGTAGGGTGCTGATTTTGATCGAGGGAAGGCCTTTTTGGGAAAGTGCTCTGTAACTATTTCCTGACTGGCATATTTTAGTAGAAGCCAAATGCAGCTCTGTGGGGTTCTTATGTCTGTATTTAAAAATTATAGAGGGGCGCCTGGGTGGCTTAGTCGGTTAAGCGTCCGACTTTCGCTTAGGTCATGATCTCGCGGTTCGTGGGTTCGAGCCCCGTGTCGGGTTCTGTGCTGACTGCCAGCTCAGAGCCTGGAGCCTGCTTCAGATTCCGTGTCTCCCTCTCTCTCTGACCCTCCCCTGCTCGCGCTGTCTCTCTCTCTCCTAGAAATAAATAAAACATTAAAAGAAATTTTAAAAAATTATAGAGATAAAAATATATAACGTGTACTGCTTAAAAAATAAAATACATCTAAACCTCCATGTAGAGTAAGATGCTTTTGTATGTCCCGTTTCTCTTCTCCCCCCAGAAATAACTTCTCTCCTGCATTTCCTATTTATTATTTCTTTGCTTTTCCTTGCATTTTGCTATGTATATATATTTCTAAACAATATATGGCTTACTTTTGGGTTTTGAAGTTATGTAAGTAGAATCATACTATGTATTCTGTGAACTTTTTTTGTTTCATTTCTTCCTTTTTTTTTCTTTCCTAACATGTTTGTGAAGTTTGTCTGTGGCACATTTTACCTAGGCCTTCATAAGTAAGGGGGTCTCTACCTGTGGGTGACACGGTGACTCACTAGAGCTGAAGCACTGGGACCGAACACCCAGAGACGCTGCCACATGTCCTTCCTTCTTTGTCGCCTTCTTAAATATTCCTTTGTTGTCCAGGCATCTGTTTGTTTTCACTTCTCTAGGTTGGTGAAAAGTAAAGTCAGCGGTTTTAAAAACTGTCATGTAGAAATATTTATAAACTATGGAATATAAGAATAACATTAGAATTCCCTTTGGGATTCCTAAGGATGACTTTTTTTTTTTTTTTCCAGTGTTGCCATGGACAGCAACTGTCAAAGTAATTACAAACTGAATAAAACTGAGAAGAAGTTCTTAAGGAAACAGATTAAAGCCAGGCATACTTTGCTGAGACATGAAGGCATTGAGACCGTAACCTATGCCACCCAGGTGACCTAAAACAATTATTATTTGAATGTAAACGCATTACCATGTTAATGTGTGACAGTAATATTAGTTAATAATGTGTGACAGTAATATTATTATTAGTAATAATTGCTCAGGGAAGAAGGCTGTGATTGTTCAGTCATGTGTTATGTGTCTATTAAATATGCATATGGTAGGACCTGGTAACTCTCAATTTGGGGACCTGTTTTGAGTTTCCATTGATTGTGGTGGCTGAACTAGAGGAAGTTATGGGTACATAGTAATGACAGAAACACTGTATAACTGTTTATGGTGTACGGAGTGTCGTTACATTCATTATTTAATTCCTTAAGAATCCTCACACGACAGGGGAGAAAACTAAGGTTCTGAGAAGTTGGGATGCATCCTCTGATGTAGGGCGGCTGAGTAGGAAACTAGAGCTGGGTCTTCTGTAACCTCATGCAGTCTTCTCCCCTCTATTCCTAACTTCATTTTACACATAAACTATTTTGATCATACGCTATAAAACATTTTTAACTTATTAGACCTTATTTACAAAGCCTTTTCTTTTTCTGATGACCATAATTCAATCCTATCCATATGTATATCAGGGACCGTGAGACGTCTTGGACCATGGGTTAAGAAGAACTTACTTTAACTCTTAGCTTCTCCTCTTACTTGGACATGGGCAGTACCTTTGATCTCAGCTCTCTTCATGTGTAAAGACCTATTCCTGCATCTTTTTTATTCCACTGGATTGTTAGATGCTAAAGGGAACATGTATGTGACGGTACTTACTAGTCATTAAAATCCACGTGAATATCAAGTATGTTTTCTGGTTGTAAGCAGCAGGAAGGAAGCTAGGACGTCATGTAGCTGAGGGCAGGAGACAGGCCTTTGAGAAGGTGAAGCTGGCATTTAAACTTGGGTTTCTTGACCCTCGGACCAATTCTCCTCCTTTATATCAGGATTACGCTGTCTTCTGTGACGAGTTAAGGTTGACAAACGAGTACTTTGATGAGGGAGATTTAGTGAGTAAAAGGCCCATACTTAGATTTCATTAAACGCCATATTAATGACTTCAGAGAATTAAACCAAATTCCTGTAAAGACGGTAGAATACATAATGCATTAGAAGTGATTTGCCTGCACACACTTTACTGTTTCTGGCACGTGCCAGCGAGGCTGTGAGACGCTCAGAAGATGAAGTTGACACGCCCTCCTCTCGTCTCCTCCCAAGTGTAACTTGCTTTCTTTTCCATCCAGGGTCATGAAGAGAAGTGGTAAGGAAAGAAATGGGTCAAGTTTCTTTCCTGCCTTGGAACTTGTTTCTAGAGGATCTGTTTCCTTAGGATTTCTAGAAGCTTTAATCCCACATTTATGGCTTCCAAATGTGTTCTTATTTAGGCTTATTTTTTCTCCGCAGTATTTTTAAAAGAAAAGAATAAAATTGTAGAAGGACCTTTAATTGTATACTGTCTATCCAAGGGAGAACAAACATTTCCACGATGTGTTCCAAGTAAACGTGACTTTGTGCAAATTTATACCCATTGTGAGATTTTTCTAGAGCAGTGACCCTCAGATTGTCAGGACTGAAGATAACTTTTAAAAACATTTTGAGGGGCGCCTGGGTGGCTCAGTCGGTTAAGTGTCCGACTTCAGCTCAGGTCATGATCTCACGGTTTGTGGGTTCGAGCCCCGTGTCGGGCTCTGTGCTGACAGCTCAGAGCCTGGAGCCTGCTTCAGATTCTGTCTCTCTCTCTCTCTCTCTGACCCTCCCCTGCTCATGCTGTCTCTCTCTCTCTCTCTCAGAAATATATAAAAAACATTAAAAAATATATAAAAATAAAAACATTTTGAATTCTCTACTTCATATTATGGGGAAAATTGCTTTTCTGACCAATTATAAATAATATGATTATTGCTTTTAATTTTGTTGTGTGACTCACGTGTTAGGACATAAGTTCCTCCCTTTCTTCCCCCACAGCACGTGTTTTTGTGGGGTTTGCCTGTAGAATCACCCACAAGTCACTTAGCATCTTTGAGGACTACTGGGATTCCTCAAGTCATGCCTCACCGTGCTACTCAATTTCCAGACAGGACAATGGACACCTGTCATTTAAAAACCCTTTTCAATTCTTTAGACTTGTGAATTTGGGAAATAGAAATGGTTTTGTAACTTTGGCTGCATATAACCAAATTATTTTGGTACTTTCTTTTATAAACCGTATTGAATGAGGTCCAAGGCAAGCCATCTCAGACTAAATTTTATACCGTATTTTATATCATTGTATAAGTGTATTCGTTTACTACATGTATATGTATATTGTATGTGCATACGTGTAAGGTATGGACTCTTCCATGACAGCACAGAGCTTTACTTTTCTCGTTAAGCAGCTGTATGATGCTACTGTATTCTTTAAAAAAAAATTTTAATGTTTTTTATTTATTTCTGAGAAAGAGAGACAGCGTGAGCAGGGGAGGGGCAGAGAGAGAGAGAGAGAAACAGAATCTGAAACAGGCTCCAGGCTCTGAGATGTCAGCACAGAGCCCGACACAGGACTTGAACCCATGAACCATGAGATCATGACCTGAGCCGAAGTCGGACACTTAACTGACTGAGCCACCCAGGCGCCCCTATTGCATTCTTTTAAAACAAGGTTCGAGATACTCTCATTTTGTGTCTATGAAACTAAGATATTCTGATCTCTAGCTTCGTATAAATCAGGTTCAGCACAGGGTTGTCCCTTGGTCAAATTTGGTTTGTAAGCTAAGAAAGAATTTTATGGTTTTAAAGGATTGTTGAAAAATAAAGACAAGAGTATGTGACAGACTTATATGACCCACGAAGCCTCAAATATTTACTGTCTGGCCCTTTTCAGAAAAAGTTTGTTAATATCTGGTATAAATGATAAAACTGAGAAGAGTAAGCTGTCAGTGGTTTCCCTGTCTTATGCTACCACGTTTTTCGTAGTCAAAGACCATAAATTAAAAATGTTTAAAACTGTTTTTTTAAAAAAATATTTATTTATTTTGAGAGAGAGTGTGTGTGGGAGGGATAGAGAGGAAGAGAGGGAGGGAGAATCTCAAGCAGGCGCTGCACTGTCATCACAGAGTCTCATGCAGAGCTTGAACTCACAAACTGTGAGATCATGACTGAGCTGAAACCAAGAATCAGACGCTTAACCTACTGAGCCCCCAGGCATCCTTAGAAGAATCTTTTTTAAGGGGTGCTGTGATTATAAGAGGTGCTGGGTCATAAGCATCAGGATAAAAACAGGAAGCTTCTTCCCCCGCCCCCAGCACGTTCCTGGAATGAAGTTTAACGCAGGACTGCAAATAATAGGAAGTAGAAACTTAACTAAGGAAAAAGTTTTCATTGCAAAGTGACTAAATTACTCAGACACAGGAAAATTTTCCTGTCTTACGTTCAGTAGAAGCTGTGGTTGATTTTTCTTTGAGCCAGTACCTTTACTTTCAGTTTTTAGGAAACACTGTAGCATGGTTATATCAAAAGTATGGATTCTGGAAAATGACAGAAGTAGATTTGACAGACAACTCCCCCTAATCACTACCTTAACCTAATTTTTCAGGTTCCTCCGTGAAGTGGGGTTCACATTAACCACCTTGTAGGCCTGTTGGGAAGCTTATGTTAATGAGGATTAAGTAGGTGAAAGCATATAGAATAGGGTCTGGCAAAATAAGTATTATGTAACTCTTTATTCCTTCTCTACATCCTGATTCTCTTTCATTGTGTTATAGTTACTAACAGTAGTAAATGTTATTTTAATTTGTATGTATGGCCATTAAAAAAGGAATATTTTGCTGAAAGGTCTATTTAAAAATCATATATTATTTACAACAGATGTACTTCTTAATCCTCTGTATTTAATAAATTGATTTACATACTGTGTATGAATTAGAAAACCAGATAACCACCATAAGGAAACCTTTTCTTTCCATCTTAATTACACTTCTGTGGAAATCTTATTTAAAAATAGTCTTATTTAAAAATCTTCTATGAAAACAAGTGGGTTCATACTAATTGCTCCTGTTTTTTTGTTTTTGTTTTTGTTTTGTGTGTGTGTATGTGTGTGTGTTTCAAAGAGCCTGGTTGTCGCCAATGGCGGATTGGGTAATGGTGTGAGTAGGTGCCAGCTGCTCCCGGTGTTAGAGAGGTGCGGACCCGTAGACGCTCTCTTAATGCCTCCTAACAAGCCCTACTCGTTTGTGAGGTACACAACTGCAGAAGAAGCCAAGAAAGCCTATGTCACCCTCAACGGAAAAGAAATAGTGGATGATTTAGGACAAAAGATCGTTCTGTACTTGAATTTTGTGGAAAAAGGTATTAGCGTACGGGCATCTTTTAAAACATAGTTGTTGCTTTTGGGTGAGTTTTCTTTTCATACCTAAGTGAGGAAGAGTGGTTTTTGTGCAAACAGATAGGACATCAGTTAAGTGACACCCCCCCCCCCCCGCTTTGTTTTCAAACCCTCTTTACGCACCTAGTTTGTCCAGGTGTGCGCTGAGTAGCTGAGGGCCTGTGAATGGCACTCAGCCGCCCTGTAAGGGGCTGGGCCAACCAGCGCAACACGACGCTGCTTATGTGTGCTCCTTGCTTTGGAATGCTGCTGCCTGTGGTTTTCAAAATTTGATGTTGAGGATTCAGAGGACCAGTCTTGCAGACTATCCAGAAGCTTTCAGTTTATCCCTTTAGAATTGTGATCCAGATGACCGTGTGCCAGATGTGCTGTTTATGGAGGTTACCCTTTAGCCACCAGACCCTAAAGCTTTATAGGGGCAGCGTCCAACAGAACTCTCTGTGATGATAGAAATGTTCATATGTTCTTAGTGGCGCGCTCTAACATGATTATGGGATTGAGGAACTGATTTCTTAATTTAATCTTATTGAAGGCAACTAATTTAAATAAAGCTTTATAGGTTGATTTACAGAGCTTCTAGGGAGATTATTATATCTCTTCTCCATTGCCTCATGGAAACAAAATGTACTGAGATGAAGTTTTTGTTTTGTTTTCATTGTTTATTTTTGAGAGAGAGAGAGAGACAGCACGAACAGGGGAGGAACAGAGAGTGAGACACAGAATCCAAACCAGGCTCCAGGCTCTGAGATGTCAGCACAGAGCCCAACACAGGACTCGAACCCACAAACTGTGATATCATGAGCTGAGCCAAAGTTGGATGCTTAACTGACTGAGTCCCCCAGGTGCCCCTGAATTTTGATTTAGATATCCAGTCTACTGGTAAATTCACTTGCCGCCTCTTTTTTTTTTTCTTTTAAACTTTATTTACTTATTTTGAGAGAGAGAGAGAGAGAGAGTACAAGTAGGGGAGGGCCAGAGAGAGAGACTCCTAAGTAGGCTTCCCACTGACAGCACAGAGCCCAGTGCGGGGCATGATCTCATGACCTGAACTGAAACCAAGAGTTGGACACTTTTGTGACTGAGCCACCCAGGCGCTCCTAACTTGCCACCTCTTTAGGCAATGTCCTGTTTTCTTCAGATATCCTGGGGACTGGTAGCTGAGCATAATCTGACCAAATTTATATGTTTGTAAAGTAAGACTCAAAGGAAACTTTTACAGACTTTTTAAAGATATATTTTAGGAATTATAATTCTCAATATCTTTATGTGTTTAATTTAAAATCTGACAAGCTCTACAGATTAAAAAAAACCATATTATCTATAGTATGTGTTTATAATCGGCTTTTGAAAATTGAATGATTTGTACGTTTTAATCAGAAAATACTTTCCTTGGGTTTTTCCCTAGTCAGTATGTTGAACACCCTGTAAGAAATTGCAAAAAGTGAGTTCTGGAGTGTTCTTTATTTGAAATCCTGTGTTAGATCCAGCTCTACTTCCAGGACTGTTGCTGTCATGTTTATAACCTTGGAAATAATTCTTTAAAAAAAATTTTTTTTAAGTTTATTTATTTTGAGAGAGAGAGAGTACGAGCAGGGGAGGGTCAGAGAGAGAGAACAGAGAGAATCCCAAGCAGATTCCACGCTGTCAGTGCAAACCCCGATGCGAGGCTTGGACTCACAAACTGTGAGATCATGGCCTGAGCCCGAATCAAGAGTTGGGCACTTAACCCACTGAGCCCCCCAGGCGCCCCCACCTTGGAGATAATTCTTGGTAGAAATAAATAGAGAATAGAGCTGTGTCACAAATGTTCTGATAACTGTTACCAGAGAGCCACTGAGGAACAAATACAAGGGGTATTTTTAATCCTTTTTAAAATCTATTTTTAGAAAACAAAGTATGAATTTCTTATATAATAAATTGCCGGTCTTTAAAGAATTTTCCCCAAAGTGTTTCTTACATAATTTAAAGAAATGATATAATGCCTGACATATAGTAAACACTTGGTAAATATTTATCAGGTGATTTGCTATTTGTATTTCTGAAATAGTAATAAAATCTAGTAGACATTTATATTATTATTGTTGTGAATTTTTATATTACATGATTCAAAGATGAAAACTCTTCAGCGCAAAAGCTCTAGAAATCACGTCTAACACGAACAATGTGATCCCTAACAGTAAATGTGACCTGCATTGTCCCCTTTAACCATAAATTCTCTTTGTTCCTTTCCCAGTTGCATCTATCTTAAAGATTACAAGGACTTAAACTATCGTAATATATACCAAATAATTCTTCATACAATATTTTTATTTCTTTAGAATAAGTTTTTTGTTGTTTTACCTTATTCTCTTATTTGACCATAGTTAGTATCAAGAAGAACTTAAGGGCCAAAATGAGCATTTAAATTTGTTTTCAATATTTAGAGACACTCTAGCTTTTAAATAGAGGAGCATATTATAGAGATTATGAGAAACCTTTTTTCTTGGTGAGATTTAAAAAGCTCAATCGTGTTCAAATAATCTTGAAGTAAATACTGTTTTATTTGCCGTTGGTAACTGTAGTGGACAAAATGTACCATAATTTTTATCTTGGTCTTTATTTTTATATTTTCCTATGTTGTGTGCCTCTAGCATTCTTGTTTATGAATATGAGGATTGGGAATTTTAGGATCTGATAAATGGCTATGGACAGCATTATTTGTATTTGGAAACTTTAAGTTTTGTGTATGACTGTATTAATTTGGGTTTCCACAGCACAGTGGAAAGAGGTGGGGCTTCAGGCCCTACCTCCAGGCCTCATGGTAGTAGAAGAAATTATTTCTTCTGAGGATGAGAAAATGCTTTTGGAAAGTATTAACTGGACAGAAGATACAGACAATCAAAATGGTAAGCAAAACTTCTAAAATGTGTTACTTAAATGTCTCTGCAAAATGCCATGTTACCTCTCCTTCTTTCCTCCTCCTCCTCCTTTGCTTTATTAAAACTTCTAATATTTCCTCAAAATTACTGAAAGTAGCCTAGACCTAATATCAGGCAAGTCATACTGATAATTCTTAATGCTCATTAATCGTAAGTGACATTTATTAAGCTATCAATTTTAGGCTGCAAACTAATTAATATTTATTAGCCAACATTTGTAGAGCTAATGGTGGACAAGCCCTTTCACAGATATTATCTTATGTGACCCTCTCCCTCGGGAGAGACATTTCCGGTGAGAAATGCAGTGAGAGCTGCCTGCAGATTCTTGCAAATTAGTCACCCTGACTCCTTCCAGATCCTTAACAGTCTTTTGATTGGCAGTGTCTGTGTTTAACTCTTTCAGGTTGACTGGGGTGAAACTCGGAAAAGGGTTTGTCACAATCTTAGACTGAAAAGTCCAATAGCAGAGGTGAGGTAGAGGGGTTAATTTTATTAATGACAGTAATTTAGCAGTTAACAAAAACTACCATTACTAGGGAATCCTGACTCACAGTTTTGACTTTGAATATTCAAAGAAATGTAGTTCTTTTTCCCTCAAATAGTTCACTTTCTTCCCTTCATATAGTTCAAAAATCTTTGAAGCACCGAAGAGTGAAGCATTTTGGTTATGAGTTCCACTATGAAAACAACAACGTAGACAGAGGCAGGCCATTACCTGGGGGTAAGTGGTTGTGAACCGGTGACAAAGGCGGAGTCAGAAAAGAAACATTTATTCTATTGGAAGGATGTCATAGTACATTTCACTTGTCATTTCTGGGTAAACTGGTGAAATAACCAGTTAAATTTAAAACATCTAAATTACATATGTACTGCAGTTTTGTTACGAACACTGCATACATTAAGCTAAGGCTGAAATTCCTCTTTTTTTTAAATTTTTTTTTTACTTTTTTAACTGAAATTCCTCTTGAACACTGTCCTTATTCACATACTTCTCAGAAGTAGTACTGTTAACCGGTTAGTACATTTTATTCCAGTCCTGTAACAAATGAGTTTACATCCCAGTAGAGATACCCATAAAGGCGTGTAGTTGTTAGCATGTAGTACTTACTATACTGTGTGCTGTGCGTGGTATGTTCACACATTCCTACACACGTGTGTCCTTCCAGCTTGTTCTTCTCCCTTCGTTAAATGCCCTTAGAGATCTGATGCAGCTTCTCAGTGTTATTCACTTTCAGCAGGGTCTTACTCAGGGAGTTCCCTGCTGGTAGACACTGAGGCGATTTCTAGTTGTTCGGTGTCAGGACTTGTGGTGCTGTGAGCGTCTTCATGCACAGCCGGCGTGTGGTGAGCCTGGAGAAGTAGCACTGTTAGGTCAAAGTTGTGTTTGTTTAAGAATGTTAGTAGATACTAAAAAATTGCCCACAGAACGGCTGTATCAACGTATTCTTACCAAGAATGAACCCCCCCCACCTCAACGTGTGACATTCTAAAACTTGTAACTTCCTGTTATTTCTGACTCCAGTGAAGTTAGTTTTACTTTGAAAACTGTGTTTTGTTTTTGTTTTTCAAATATTTTATTTTTAAAGTAATCTCTGTAGGGAGGCAAGATGGCAGAGAAGTAGGGAGCTCCATACATTTCACTTGCCCCCGTCTCTCAAACAGAGAAGGCCTGAAGCCATAGGAACCCTTACAGAATCCAGAAGTTTGGGAGGAAGAGGAGGCAGAGTCCCCTGAGAAAACCTTATTGCTGCTACCTCAGGAAACAACCAAAGTACACATGGTGGAGAATCCCAGATACCACTATGAGTACGGAAATAAAATAACCAAAGTCTCAACAAGAGAGACCAAGAGACACCATTCAAAGAACGCTTCTTGAACAGACAGGCCCTGGACAGTCAAAGAGCCTTCTTTTTTTTTTTTTTTTTT